TTTTGTTAAACGTCAATAACTGCATCGTGTAAAAACAAAAAGTTTGCAGAAAATACCAGAAAAAACTTACCAACACCTAAATATAACAATTCACTTATTTCTAACTCAGACCTATATGCATAAATATACTTATTTTTTAAAAAAATCAACCATACATTATAAAAAATATATATTACAAAACATATATTTTGTTATTTTTTAACACATAAAAGCCATACTTCGATGTAAATAAAATTAATAATGTATAAGAAAATTAATCAATACTTAAATATTACAACTAATTATGACTATAAAAAAATTATACTTGCACATGCGTGCAGACCAAAAATAAAAATGAAATAAATTATTATATTTTTGAATGTTATCCCATTTATTTAGTTATCATATTTATATTTTTATCCAAATAAATATTTTAAAATCTTAGTTAATATTTTTTTATCTTCACTTTCTATTGAAATATATAATATTTTATATTTATTTTATCTTTATTTTAATTATCAAATATTTATTATTTTATTATTATTACATAATTAACCATATACAAATAAAAAATCTGAAATACTATATTAACCATAATTAAACATATAAAATATTTCATAGTTTGCACACGATGCAGGTCAGTCACCTAGTAACAATATAAACTAGCAAAAAAACCATTTTTGGGTTTAGGGTATTAATGTGATCATCGACTATGGTAGAAAACTGAAAATAATATAGGTGGTCAGATTAAAAATTTAATTTAATATTTTTTATAAAATATTTGGTAATAAAATTTGGTAGCCAAATTTGGAAATTGTTTTTAACCTTCATATTTTCCATCAATATATTTTTATATCCACCAAGAATCCCCTATATATTAATTGAGAAGCATTTTTAGAGAATAACTTTAAATTTGTAAACAATTACAGTGGTACCATTTTGCTGATGTGTCATTACAACAGAGCTTTTCAAAAGTGTTTTGAAAAAAGACTTCTGTTATTAGAATAATTACATGTTCTGCCACTCACATTAATCTGATTATGCAATACTTTATATCAATTACATATACATAAATCAGCATTTAATTTATTAAGCAATTCTCTTTCTTTTTATTTCTTACCTAAAATAAATCATATAAATTATTGCTTAATTATATATTTGACCAAAATTTATTTTTTTCTCTTATTTTTATTAAAAATTATTTTTGTAAAATAAATAAATTGTCACATCATCCATATAGTAAAAAATATATAGATTTATTTGTACATGTGTTATAATTCGAATTTTTAAAAATAAAGATAAATTACGTAAATTATGAATAAATAAAAATAGGTTTTAAAAGTCTTACATTAGAAATAATGATATGTAGATCAATATATGGTTTATAAATTAATAAAAAAAATGATAAAAGAAGATTGTAAAAGTAGGAAGCTTGATTTAATTGACATTAAAATTGATGTTTTTTTGTTTAATAAAATTTTTATAGATCCAATTAAATTAATCAAATAACATAAATTTGAAAAAAATTTTAATTCAAAATATAAGAAATAGTTAAATATATTGAAAAATATAATCTTATGTATATTTTAATTTTGTTAAGAAAGCAAAATATTATAAAGTTTTAACCAACACAAAGAAAATAACTTGGTTAAAAAGTTAAACATTTTTAACATATTATATAATAATTTAGTCACACTTTTTGATATTAAAAATATTTTTATTAGATAAAAAGCTTTCTGTTTATAAATATTGACTCATTTATATATAATTTTAGATAACTTACTAACAATATTAATTCATTAATTTAGCTAAAAGAAATTCTATTGCGTTTGATATATGTTAATGATACAAGTAATTTAATTTAACTATATTATATGCTATGATTGATACTTAAATTAATTTAAATTACAATAAAATTACTTTATATTTTTTAGAAAACAAAAAATCTATATCGTCAATATTATAGTATAATATTATATAAATTTCATATAAATTTAGTTATATTATATTTTATTATATGATTTTAAAATTATATTATAATTTTAATAAATAATATTTATTTCACTCCGCAAATAATGCGGGTTATTACCTAGTAATAGTGCTAAAATAGTAACCATGTTTGAATATTTTCTGAAAGCAGAAAATTTAGGAAAACCAATTAAAACAAAGGAACCAATCTATTACTAATAAAAATTGAAGCTAAATACCTTTAAAGGCGTCCACATAGGATTAAAAGATTCAATTTTATTAATACACATCATCATTATATACAGTTAAATATATATATATATTTTAAATTAAAAATTTTTAATTTGTTTTTACTATTATAAGAAAAATTTCTAAATTTTAATTAATTTCGTTTTTGTTGTTATTAGGAAAGTTTCAAAAATTTAAAGTAGTTAGTAATAAGAAAGAGTTTATAAAGTAGATCTTACTTTTCTATTAACAAAAAGTAAATTAACATATAAATATCTTTAATAAAAAAAAATTAACTTATAAATAGATTACTAAAGAAAATCATATATATTGAACAAAATAATTAAAAACCATATTTGAGACCATAAAAACTATTTCAAAATTTTAATCATGACAAACAATTAAAATCTGAACTGCTAATATAAATATATTAGTTGTGATCCGTATTGATGTCTTATGCCAATGAAAGCATCTACATATGACATGGAAACTCAAATTGATTGGTCTACATCATTATTTTTTATTAAATATAAAAATGTTAAATATGATTAAAATTTTAAATAAATTAAAACAAGCAAAAATATAAAATTATCATAGTAGAATAAAAAATTAAGACTAAAAAGTTTAACTAACAAAACAGGTAAAATAAAATTATGTCAAAAAATCCAAATCTATGCTTGTCAAAATAATTTAAACTTATTGTCACAAAAGTTAAATTAACAAAAACAAATATGTAAATCAATGATAAACAAGCTTAATTAAAAAAGAAAAAAAATTTACATATATATTTTATATGAGTAATTAATTAAAAAATTATGAATATTTATTGAAAACTACCAATACTATCAAAACACTATCTAAAACTTAATATTTAGTCTAATTATTTAGAAAATCAACACAAAAATCTGAACTAACCAAAAACGTTTAACTAAAAAAAAACCAAAAGTAAATTTTTTTTTTTGTAATATGTCAATATAATTAAAATGAAAATTCATATTGAAATAGTTGAATTAACAAAAAAAGATATCAACTTGATATCTATGCTATTTTTTATTTAAAAAAATCAATATAAACAAAATAAATAAAAAAAATAAAAAAACTTAAGTAATACTAAAAACTTTACTAACAAAAAGAAGATAAATATTTAAGTTAATTATTTAAAAAAATCTATATTAATAAATTAATTAACAAAGAAAAATAAAACAAAAATTAAGTTTTACAAAATTTTAAATTTTAAAGCATCTCCTAAAAAAACATTGACTTGATATCTCACTAACTACTTAAGAAATCAATACTAAAATATTTAACTAACAAAAAAACAAAAAAAAATGTTTTCAGAGATATCAATCTTTTCACTACAATTATATGTTAACATAAAATAAAAACTAATATCAAGTGAGGTAAATTATCAAAGGAAAAAGTTGTATAAAGAAAACCTAGCTTGATATTTAAACTAATATTTTGGAAAATCACATAAAAATTAACTAAAAGAAGCAAATGATGGTATAAGTTTTTGAGAGACATCCACATAAAATTTAGAATACCCAGTTATAGCATGTCAAAATTTACAAAGAAAAATATTTATGTAAAAGAGATTAATATATGCTACCTATTTGGAAAATCATTAAAAAAAGATTAATTAAATAAATTAAAATAAAATATAAAATTACCATCGAAAGATATGTAAAATAACAAAAAATAAAATCTAAGAAGAAAATTAGTTTGAAATTTAGTTCTACAAAATTCATGATTTCTAAAATATTGGTACTAACTATGAATAACCATATAAAATTACAGTAGGTTATACAAGTTTCTAATTCAAATGTATTATTTAAATTTACAATGACTAATACTTTGGCTGCGTCTGGTTTAAAAACTAACAGGTTATACAAGTTTCTAATTCAAATATATTATTTAAATTTACAATGACTAATACTTTGGCTGCGTCTGGTTTAAAAACTAACAAAAAAATACTACACAAGTAATTTTATATTCGAAATATAACAACTAATTTATACATAGTTACTACTTATAACTTAGCCAACATGAACACATAAACAACACATGAGTAACATCTTCTAAAATCTCCTTTAAATAATAAACTATGACAAAGTTATGAATCAAATTCAAATTGGAATATATCTAGATAAACTTTTCAAATCAAGACATGAATAAACCATAGAAAAGATAAAAACAGTAATAATGTGAAGACTCCACACCATCTTACATGTTTTAAAACAAAAACTATCAAATAGTTTTTTTTTTTTTTTTTTGGTAAAAAACTATCAAATAGTTGACTGTAAAAAAATAAATCTTATAAACTAAGTAGAGATATAATCTAAAATTCATAGAAGATGTGGTAGAGAAGCAAGAAGCAGCTCTACATGATTATTGTAGCATCTTAACAAAAGTAAATCCGAATCAAAATGAATTATATATTATATATTCATAGGTACACAACATCAGCGAGATATTTAGTCAAAAACTAAATATTTGAACATATAAACCTTAAAAAAAAAATCATAAAAATCTTAATGACACAAAAGTAAATACCAAAAAATTAGTAAGAAAATTATTCTCTAAAGCAAACGTATGCACGTCGAAGTTGGATAATTCGTAAAATGTTATTACTATGATTTAACTTAATAAAATTTATAATTTTATAATAAAATATTTAAAACTATATATTATATTTTAATTATTTTTTATATAAAAAAATTCTATAAATATATTATAATTTTGATAATTTAAAAGATATTAAAAAAAAAAAAAACTAAACTAAATTATTAATACAGAAAGCCTTAGATAATGAATCACAAAAGAGAGTCGGAACTCGCGAGGGGAAGAAGAGCTTGAGCGGATCTGAAACTGGATCAACGGTTTCAGACAGTGGTGTCAATGGAAGAGGGAATTGAGTTTACAGATCTGAAAGTTTGACGATTGATGCGACTGTTTCGCTCCAACCAGATAGCATAGATGGTGCATTGCCAAGCGATGGGCACCAGTTTCTTCTTCGATTTTGATCCCTGCAAGAGATGCAAATCCGTCAGTGTCTGCTCTCAAAGTCTAGATGGCATGATTTCGCATCTAGAACTAATCTTTCTCCAAATTGACCAACTAATTGGACAATCAAACAGTAGATGGTCACGAGTTTCAGCGGGGCAATTGCAGAGAACACACTGATGGTCGACAGAGAGCCCCCAGCCAATGATTCTGTTCCTTGTAGGGCATCGATTGAGCCAACACAGAAAACTATGTTTAGGGATTCCTCCGGCATTCCAGACAATCGATTTCCACGAGACAAGAGGTACATGATTTAAAGAAAATAGTAAATATTTCCAGTCTGATATTTCAGCCAAGTTTTATCATGTTGCTAAATTTCTTGTTAATTGTTTCAATGCTTCCAATTTAATTCTGTAGAAAAGGAAGCTAATAGACTTGTTCCATTATTGTTTACAATTAGGTACTTTGGAAATTTTTCATCGTTCTGTATTTGAAGAAGTCTGATGCTTAAATGGAACTGTATGCTTCTCACGTATTCTAGAGACATTAAATTCATCTGTGGAAGTGATTTGCTTGAGGTTTCCTCTCACTAATTATTTGTTGTGCCATGGATCAATTCGATTTTTCTTGGTACGATGCAGATTATCACCAAGAGACGTTGGATTATCTAAAGACAGCTGTGATGATCACGAAGAAGCTTTGTGATGTATGTTCTCTTCTCTTGTTTGCTCTGCTGGATCTTTGTATCTTGTTCTATCTGATAATGCTTAATCTCATGAAGTAACTTAAGTTGAAACGATTTCCTTGAATGCTTGCAGCTAGCTTTGTTGTTCAAGAATTAGTTTTGGTGTTTTTGCAGCTTCTCTGCAGAATGTGCGAGTTAATACTTAGACAATTAAGATTTAGGGACATATTCAAGAAAGTTAAAGTGTTATTGACCAGTGATCTTCGAAAAATTATGATTTCTCGTCTACTATATTCTGATCTAGTGATTTCAGCAAAGGAGCAACCACCTCATCTTCACAGCTTTACCAAGAGACATCTATTAATACAATCGGATTATTACTGCCTCGTTATTCTCTTTTCATCCCACTTTCTTTGTTTTTCAGCGAGTTAATTTGGTACAAGCGTTAATCAAATGGTTGGAGGAAGAGTCATCCAGCAAATTCTGAGGAAGCTTCACGCCCAACCTGTTGTGAGACTCCTTTAGTCTTAATCTTTTCTTTCTTATGTTATTCTATTTTGATTTGTGTTTGGGATTTCTTTCACTCCTTATGTATAACTAGGTATTTACCTGCGCTATGCTGCGGGATATTTTTCTAAATTTTTATATATTTTTAATATATTAAAATTATTTTATAATATAAATAAATAAATTTTTATTATCTTAAGCTATGTATTTATATGTTTTAAATCTGAATAAATATTATATATCCTTTTTATTTTTTAAAATTATATTTTGATACCAAATTTGTTTAACTAACTATAAATGTATATATAAAAATAAAATAATACACTTTTAAGTACCTTCATCCCAATAGCAAATATAATCTATTTTCTCCACTAAATTGTCACTTGATCCTCATTTATAATTATATAAAGCAAAATGTCGTTTTAAAAAAAAAATTATTAATTAATATAATTCTTTTTGAATTAGAAAATTTATTTATTTATCAAATATTTTTAAAAAATATATGTTTCTAAAACTACTAAACTATAATCAATAACATTTTATATCGAAACCATTGTTATTGCTTTAGAACTAAAGAAAAAATTGTGTTTGAACTCCTGAAATTTCGATTTAGCAGAAGTTAAATAATTAAATTTTGGTTACTGTAAACATATGGTAACTTAGAATTTTATCATCAAAAAATTTTAATTTCTTGCAAAAACTGAAAAATCTCATTTCCCGTTAAAAAAAATATTTTTCCACGAAAACTGAGAATTGCCTATTCCTGCCAAAATCAAGAACTTTTATTTTTTTGTCAAACCAAAATTTTTATTTTCCCACCAAAACCTAGAAATTGTATTTTCACGCAAAACCCAAGAAATCATATTTTTCTGCGAGAACCTGTGTTTTTTGCCAAAACCGAAAAATTATGTGCTCTCACTAAAACCAAAAAAAAGATCTTCATGCAATAACCGAAAAATAATTTTCTGTTAAAAAACAAAAAAAAAAAAATTTCAAAAAAACTGAAAAATTGTATATTCTCACCAAAGCCAAGAAATTTCATTTTCTTGTCAAACGAAAAATTCATGTTTTTCCACTAAAACCGAGAAAATACATTTTTCCGCGAAAACCTAATACTGCATTACCTCGCGAGAAATTGAGTTCTCTAGCAAAAACTAAGAAATCACATTTTCCCACGAAAACTAAGAAATTTTATTATTCATCAAAATTGAATATTTGCATTTTTTATCAAAATCAAGAAATTGCTTATTCCCACCAAAAACCGAGAAATTTTATTTTCCTATTAAGCCGAGGAATTGCATTTTCTGCCAAAATCGTCAAATTGTATTTTTCCGAAAAGACTAAAAAATGGCATTTTTCATGAAAACCAAGAAATTGCATTATCCGTCAACTCAAATTTTCATTTACCATCAAAACCGATAAATCGTATTTATCCGTCAAAACTGAAAAGTTGCATTTCCCATCAAGTCCAAAAAATCGCATTTTTCCGTCGAAACCAAGATATTTTTTTCTCCTCAAAATTGATTTTTTCCGTTTTCCCTCCAAAATCGAAATACAGTTTCCCGCCAAACCCAAAAAATCGCATCCTCCCGCCATAACTGAGAAATTATATTTTTCCACTAAAACTGAAAATTACATTTTCTCGCCAAAACCAAAAAATATCCTATTCACGCCAAAACCAAGAAATCCCATATTCCCGTCAAAATCAAGAAAAATTATTGGTGTTTTTTTAGTAAAACTGAAAATTGTATTTTCCTGCCAAAATCGCCAAATTGTATTTTCTGCAAAAACTGTGAAATTGTATTTTCCAGCGAAAACCAAAAAATCGTGTTATCCATCATAACAGAAAATTGCATTGCCCACCAAAACCGAGAATTTTCATTTCCTATCAATAAACGAGATATTTTGTTTTCCGTCAAAACCGAGGAATTTCCTTTTTGCGCCTAAATCAGAAAATCTCATTTTTCCGTCAAAACCGAGAATTTTCATTTCCCAAGAATTTTTGTTTTCTTGTTCAAACCATGAAATTTTGCTTTCACGTCAGAAGCCAAGAAACTGAGCGAAGACCAAGCCGGAAACAGAGGTGATTTCGACGTTTCCGACGTCAATGATGTTGAGATTGAGGTTTTCACAAATGACTGGGAGGAAGCCCGAGCTGCGAAGCTGCAAAAATGGAGACAAATCAGCAGAATAAATGAAACCATGAGAGATGGAAAGCTCTCACGTGAGGCTTAGCGACGGAGAATAATCAAAAAGATATTGATTTGTTCTTGGTAACAACCGGAAGTACGAATCTCCTAGCTGTTGTGGCTTGAACTTTTCCTTTTTTGCTTTCGACCTTTATTTTTTGTAAAGTTTGGGGTTTTTAATAGGTCAGCAAAATAGTAAACTGACTTTAATATTGTGTTGATGATATGTATTATTGTTATGTTTTTATTAACTCAAATTTTTGCTGATGTGTGAGCTTCTAATAACATAAGGCTTTTTGCTTTGTTGTCATGGAAGCTAAGTAAAAATAAATAGATGACTTGTATTAATAAAATATTTTGATTGATGATTTATTTTGCTGAAGTGTCATGTTTAAAAAAAATATACACATATTAACACTTTTTTCAAACCCCTTCATAATCACTCGTAAAAATCGTTTGGAACCATCTATGAAAGCAATAAATCAATGGCACAAGCACATTTTTACAAGATATTCACTTCTTTCGATGCTTCCAAATGTTTTTATTTTATAATTTATAGTGTTGGTTTAATTAGGTTTATAGATGGGTAAGTAAATTTTATATTTTAGGCTTTTATAAATGAAATGAGTGATGTGTATTAATGTTTTAATTTGATTAGTGAATCTTTTTGCTGAAGCGTCATCTTCAGAAAACTCCAAAATACTGAGGTGTCTTTACCAGGAGAGATACTTGTGATTAATAAAATGTTTTTATTGATGATTTGTTTTGCTCAAGTGTCATGTTTATAAAAAATATATACATATTATCACTTTTTTCAAACTCCTTCATAATCACTCGTAAAAATTATTTGGAACCATCTATGAAAGCAGTAAATCAATGGCACAAGCACATTTTTACAAGATATTCATTTCTTTTGATGCTTCCAAATGTTTTTATTTTATAATTCATAGTGTCAGCACATATATTTTAACCGAATAAAATGAACCACACATTTCTCAAATGAGTTCCAAAGCAGACGTAAAAAATCTAATTATGATCTAAACGCTGGCCAATCCATATGGTTTTCTATCATCGAATCAAATTTGAGCAATTTGTCTTGATGCAAACTCTGTGAAGTTGTTTATCTCTTAGACATGTCAGTGCCCACAAAATCCCATCCAGTTCCGCATGTAGGGCTGACAAGTTTCTTCTGCAGCCTTGTTGTCCGGTGTTAATGAATCCCAAAGTGTCTGTTAGGAGCCACCCGATTCCACTGACTGACCCCTGATTGACCCAAGAGGTATCGATTTGGCAAGTCGGAATCTGAAGGACCACATAAGGCTCAAACGGGATCTTTGTGCCATGTCTCTCTTCTCTTTCCTCATTTATCTCCTTTTTGTTTGCTTTTTTCCAACTTTCTGCTTATGTGCTGGTATACTGGAGTGTCTCCATGGGTGAGACGGTTTTTCCATTGAAAACCTCATCACTCCTTGCTTTCCAAATGAACCAAATATATCCCATTAGGAAGCTGGGGGCTCCCTTTCTTTAATCCACTAAAATAGGACATCACAGTTTTCATATAGAGATGAACTCGAAAAGCAACCTGAAAGGGACGAAAGGTCCAAAAGAGCCCATAGTCAAAGGTCAGGGGCATTCAAAAATAATATGATTAATCGTTTCCTCTAGGTCTCCGCACTGGAGGCAACTTTTATATGTGCCTAAGTATCTAAAAGTTAGTCTTTCACAAGTGGCCACACAATTCGACAGAGCTTGCTACATGAAATGCTGAAGTTTTAGGGGCGTTTGAATCTTCCAAACTTGGCTCAAATGACTATTGATACTTGGTTTTGTCATCTAGAACGGCTTAAGATCCACATTTAGTTGTTGGGCTAGCTCGTATCATGATTTAACCTTGTAAGCTCCTGATTTTGTGTGGTTCCAAACATACCCATCCAAGGTGAAGTTTTGGCTAGGTCTCATCCCGAGTTTTAGGCGGATATCATCGGAATGGAAGAGTTCACGTATGATCTAAATGTCTCACTCTTCCGTATCTCTTTTCATGAGCTCATGGACTAAAAGATCTGAATTCCTATTTATTGCGGTGATTAACCCCCTAGCTGGCCTTGCCAGGATATCTGGGATCCATGGTTCATTCCATACATGCTGTTGCATCTTGACGCAATAGTCTTTCGAAGCCGTTGAAGGAGGAGGGGTCATGCAGCCAATATACTCCTCCACCCATATAATGGAGAGTATGATCAGTGTACATCAAGGGGACTTGACAGTCTAAAGTATCTCCCTCGTGAAACCCTAGCTAAGAGGGATGAGGGATATTGTACCAGGCGGCAAATTTGTTTTGCTAGCAAGGATATGTTAAACTCATGGAGATCTCTGAATCCCAGACCTCCCTTATCCTGGGGGACAAAAATTATGTCACATGCGATCCAATGTATGCCTTTATTGTTTTGTTCTGAACTCCACCAGAAGTTTGAGATTGCGTTTTTGAAGTTATCTATAACACCATGCGGTAGTAGAAAATACGACATAACGAAAGTCGGAAGTGCTTGGGCCACATATTATATTTGTATTACGAGGCAGTTCCGTATGAGTGTATTATTTTCAGTATCTCTACACTTTGCAGTACTTCTGCCTTGCAGAAGAATAAACTATTATATGCAAATAGGAGGTGGGACACCCGAGGACTTGCTCTTGCAATCCTTAAGCCTGTAATTCGTTGTTCCTCTTCTGCTCTTTTGAGAAGGGAGATGAAAGCCTATGTGCATAAGATAAACAGAAATGGGGGAAAAGGGGTCTCCTTGGCGCAGTCCTTGTGTTGGTCTTATTCACCTTTTAGCTTCTCCATTTATCAAGACATGGTATAAGATGGAGGAGATGAAAAACATCAACAGCTTTAGCAACTTATCCGAGAAGCCGAGCTTTAGAAGGAAGGCTTGTAAAAACCCCCATTCAACTCTATCATATGCTTTACTCATGTCTGTTTTGATGGCCATAAATTTGTCTCTGCAGCTCAGGTTAGTTTGCAGAGCATGGAAGTTTTCTTGGGCTAGTAAGATATTATTCGTGATTAGGCGTCTAGCCATGAAGGCTGATTGTGTCTCTGAAATAAGATTTGAGAGTATCTTCTTTAATATCTTATAGAGGATTTTGGATATGATTTTGTAACTTATATTCCATAAGTTTATTGGTTTAAATTCTATCATTGCTCTCAGACGGTCCTTCTTAGGGATAAGAC